TGTTATTCAGATGACGGTATTATTTTATGCCAAAAAATATGCGGTAAGTATATATATCATTCGATAATACTTTATCGATGGGTTATCCCATACTCCAAAAAACGAGTAATACGAGTGTTCGACTCTTGCTGAGTCTCGGAATTGCATGGGATAAAAACAATGAGACGTTTGTATTGGATCACGTGGAAATTGGAGAAGTGGAAAAAAAAGAAAACGGTATCTATATTCGATCCACTATTACATTTACAAATGGTGATTTTGAGAATAGGGAAGGCACAATACCGTATAACTCTATAACAAGCTTTAGAGATATAATTCCTCTGTACTCTGATAATGATATAGATGTTAAACTTTATTCGTCTATTATTCATATTATTGTTGATGCGCAAAGAAAAAAATTTTGCGTCCAGATTGACAACTGTCCACTGTTGATACATAGAGGCTGTAATAATTCTCAAGTATCAATGTTTACTGTATGTATGGCTCACTTTTCAAAATACAACAATACAAAAGAGGATGATGTTGATAATGTTGATGATACAACAACAACTGCAGCTGCTACACAAAACTTAAACGTAAAAAGAATACTACGACTATATGAAATGAAGAATAGAACTGATGATGTGTTTTTAGATGCTTTAATATCTTTTCTTAAAGAAAAGATAGATACACCATTACCCATCTTAGAGGATGGTGAAACAATGGTGCATGATGAAATAATGGTGCAAAAATTAAAATTAGAAAAAATAATAACATTATATAAAGAAAAAGACAATACTGAAAAAGGAAATTTTCCTACGAAGCAAACACCCATCATGATGAAGAAAAGGATGATATATTAACTCTGTCTAACGAAGCGACTGATAAGAATGACCATCTGGGGGCACTAGACTGGATACCATCACTTTCAAGCGAAATAAAAAAACATGATGAAGAAAAGGACGCTATATTAGCCCTGTCTAATGAACTGGCTGATAAGATTGACCATCTTGAGGTACTAGACTGGATACCATCTCTTTCAAGTGAAGTAGAGAAATGTGAAAGTATAAGGGATATATCTCTACTGGGTTATTATAATAATCCATATATATTAGAAAAGAGCAAGGAGAAGAGAAAACGACCATTCCTGTTATTAAGAGAAATAAAGGAGATAGGAGGATATACAACCAAGTTAAAGGCACTGTTCAAGGAAATACGGTCGATGGCAAGTGACGAAGAATTAACCGAGTTTAACTTTTATTACGAGGAGTATGTAAATCAAATGGAGAGCATGTATAAACTATCATTGATGAATGACCAAATTTGGGAGGAAGGGTATAAAATCAGAAGAATTATGAGATTATTCATAACAGCGAGTGTATTTTCACCACGCTACCCTATTGTTAATAAAATTCTCAATAAAGAAAAAAAAATATTTAAGATATGTTTTGAGAAATATATTCTCTGGTCTCATAATTAGTATGAAACCCGATCACAATTTCGAGGCAAATAAAGAATGGGTTATCAGAGTTATTATCGACCACTTGTCTGATAACAATAATAAGGAAAAGTTTGTTGATGTATTGAGATTTTGGATGTCTGAATTTCAGATTTATTCGACAGGACGATATTGGCTAGACGGTATATCTACAACTAATGGGTCTTTAGAAAAGAATCCTTTAGGAGGAGGACCCTGTGCTTTGTTTACACCTATTGCTAAACATATGAGAATGATAAAATTTAATAGTACCGGTACAGATCTTCCAAATATAGAATCGAAAAACGGGACAGTTTATCATGAATTATCACCTATAGATAGTTTGCATCTGTTGATTGATTTAACTAAACGAAGAGGAGGTTTATTATCTATTGGTTTTAGTAACAAAGATGATAATACAGATTGTATTGCTGATTTTAATTTAAAAAGGACTAACCTTATAAACTCGAAACATATTTTTAGACCTTTCAAATATGTGAACAAAATGATAAGAAGAGATCATACGTTAAATACTGCTGATAATTTTAATTTGGATTTTATAGATATATTCTCAACCAAAAACATTGGATTGAGATTTTAAGAAATGGAGGCGTGTTAAGATTAGTAACTGTAGGTAAAAACAAGACATCTAATACTGGTGCTGTTCCTATTGTTCATGATACTCGTGATTGTAATGATATTGATTGTGATGATAATGATAACATAGAAAAAGACGAGAACAACGTTGATACCAATAACAAAGATAAGTATAGATATAATGAAGTTAATGTAATGTCTAGTCTTTATGATGAATATGGGAAAACTATAAATTATATTCCGCTGACAATGGCGTACGATATAAAGAGGCTGTTAGGTGATGAAGGTTATAAACGAGCTATGCAAACACAAGCTCCTTCAAAGATTAAGATGTTAATTTATGATTATAACAATAACCATGCCACTCAAATTGATGTTGATTCTTTTTATAAAAGATGCGATTTAAACATTACACCTTTTCCCATTCAATATGTTTCTTCAATGTTTGTACCGAGATATAATGCAATGACAATAAAAAGAAAAACGACAACAAATCAAAGGAGAGACGAAAATAAAATATTTGATATAGTGTTTAAGATTACCAGACAAAATGTAACCACCTATTGAGAGAAATGGATAATATTAATAAACAGCTGGTAAAGTTGAAAGGTATGAAACGGTCTCTAGTCTCAAAGTTGAAAAAACGAAAAGGAGGACCCTACAATGAGATGCATAAGGGTAATAATGGAAAGATGTCTAAGATTAACTAATATTATTGTACATATGAATATTTGTTTGTTTCATTAATAAAATTTTTAATCTATTATTATTTGATTCCTTTTATTATAAAATACCTATATTAAAAGAAATATATAACGATATTAAAAAATGAATTTGACAAAGATGATGAATGAAGATAAATCATCACCATGCAGTTACTAATAGCCATCAATCTAACTCAAAGGTTGGATATAGTGTGGTTTGAGGGTAAACGCAAGTTTTATTCATCTGACATTTCTATCTTGTTAGACAGTAACGGCTCACATGCCATCAGGTTAATTATTAGAATTTTTAATATTTAAACGAGAACACACACACACAAAAAAAGTTAAGTTGTCAAGACTAGAAAAAATATAAGAAAGGAAGGTAATATTAAAAAAAAAATATAATATATAAATATAGAGATACATTTTCGTATTAAACATCACTTAAAAATTAACGACGAAGAGAAAGAAAAAAACGCTTGATAATGATAAGCTTCTTTATACATTACAAAAGACTCTTAAACAGATTAATAATATCATACAAAAACTCGACGATCTAGAGGCTAGCATATCTACATCTTCTAGTGACTCTGATAATGATGATGATGAAATCTCGAACATCAACATTGTGAATACCGGCTCATGAGAATATTCACTGAGTCTATGGGGGTTGATTATTATAAATTGTAGTATGAACAATAAAAAATGATATAACTTTATCTAATGTTTTTTTTAAATTATACTTTTATATATTAGAGTGAGGACATAATATCATTTTTTAAAACTTAAACACGCGTAAACATAGACAGATAAGAAGAAAGAAAATGGAGACAAATAATTATTATAATAACAACAACCATCATAAAGAAAAAGTGATTGTTGCTAGTGATAATGACAATAATATCCACCATATCACTACCGACGAAAAACTGATTGATGTTAACAGCATGGAAAATACAATGATGATGAGTGACCACCACAACCACCTTCATCATCATCAAACTGCTAGTAGTAATGGTGATGACGATGATGTCCACCACAGCCGGACTAATGTTGACAGCATTGAAAAAACAATGATGATCGATATTGACGTTGACCACCGTCAGACTACAGACACTACTGCTGTGATTGATACTAGCAATAATGATGATGGTGGCAATAATAAACATCTCAACCAGACGACTACGACTACTACTACTACTACTACCACCGACATTTCCATGCCAATGGTGATGAGCGATCATCATCATCAAACTGCTAGTAATGATGATGATGTCCACCACAACCGGACTTTCACTACCGACGAAAAACTGAATGATGTTGACAGCGTTGAAAAAACAATGATGATCGATATTGACGTTGACCACCGTCAGACTACAGACACTACTGCTGTGATTGATACTAGCAATAATGATGATGATGGTGGCAATAATAAACATCTCAACCAGACGACTACGACTACTACTACTACCACCGACATTTCCATGCCAATGGTAATGAGCGATCATCATCATCAAACTGCTAGTAATGATGATGATGTCCACCACAACCGGACTTTCACTACCGACGAAAAACTGAATGATGTTGACAGCATTGAAAAAACAATGATGATCGATATTGACGTTGACCACCGTCAGACTACAGACACTACTGCTGTGATTGATACTAGCAATAATGATGATGATGATGGTGGCAATAATAAACATCTCAACCAGACGATTACGACTACTACTACTACTACCACCGACATTTCCATGCCAATGGTAATGAGCGATCATCATCAAATCACTACCGACGAAAAACTGATTGATGTTGACAGCATTGAAAAAACAATGATGATCGATATTGACGTTGACCACCGTCAGACTACAGACACTACTGATGTGATTGATACTAGTAATAATGATAAACTTCTTAACCAGACGACGACTACTACTATTACCACCGACATTTCCATGCCAATGGTGATGAGCGATCATCATCATCATCAAACTGCTAGTAATGATGATGATGTCCACCACAACCGGACTATCATTACCGACGAAAAACTGATTAATGTTGACAGCATTGAAAAAACAAAGATGATCGATATTGATGTTGACCATCGTCAGACTACAGACACTACTGCTGTGATTGATACTAGCAATAATGATGATAATGATGATATTGGTAATGATAAACATCTCAACCAGACGACGACTATTACTAACACCACCGACGAAAAACTGATTGATGTTAACAATATGGAGAAAACAATAATGATGGACATGAGTGACGTTGACAAAGACCACCATCAGACTACAGATACTACTACTATTAGTGTTATTTCCGTTACCGACGAAAAAGAAAAAGTGAATGATAGCAGCAACAAAGAAAAGTTGACAACAACAAATGTCGATATTGCTGATAGTGGTAATGATGATGATGTTGAACACCACCAGACTGCCACAACTAATAGTACTACTATTACTACCACTATAGATGAAAGAAAAAACGTGCTTGATATCAACAATGAGGAGAAGACGGTGTTGTCTAAGTTGAGGTGCAATAGTGGTAGCGATGATGACTACCACCAGATTATTAGCACTGACGAAAAAGAAAAAGTAAATGATACTACTGAGGAAGAGTTGACGACGACAACAAGAATTAATGTCAACGAAGGTCTTCTTACTCAGAAGAATCTCAATGTTAAGAATCGTGAGACCATGATAGCCTGTACTGGTTTTACCGATGAAATGGAAGAAAAGAATCTTGATGATATCTCGCAAAAAGTTATGAAAAAGGTTAATGATACTCGAGAAGTTAACACGATATTATCTTTTTGCGAGGAGAATGATGCTGATATCAATTTTCCTATAATTTGTAACGATATAATGAAATGCAGTGAATCATCTAATGAAGTTACTAGCACCGTCAATGACTTAAAAGGTAAATTATCATCTCTTCTATAATTTGTAACGATACAATGATAGATCTAATGAAATTACTAATACTAAACTATTTTCCAAATTTGATATAGGGAATAATGGTATAACAATTATTTTTGCAGAATCGACATCGATAACAGCAAGTAGTACAAGAAGAGACGGTAAAAATAACAGCAACAACAGTAGCAGACACACCAACAGCAGTAACATCGGAAGTATCAACAATAACATCGACAGCAGTATCAACTTGTCCCAATATGTTATTGGAAACATCATCATCATCATCAACATGTAGCACTACAGAACTTTCTGTAGCTACACTAACTCGAGATAATGAAAATGTTAGTACTCTTACGATGCATGACACTAATCGTAACACTCTAAACCCAGCAAATATAGCAGAAAGAAATATGCGAGGAAATAAAGAAGATAAATCAAGACCACCTTTACCAAAACCGGATGAGGAAAATGTTGATTCATCAAAAACTGAAGAAAGAAAAAGGAAATGTATGGTATTAGTATCTTCAAATAATTATAAATAATGATAAGAAAAGAGGAGAAGAAAGAGTGACAAGATTGTCTATTAAAAGACCAAAGATGAAAAATGTGCATAAAAGACAAAGAAAAATCTAACTAGAATACAAGACATATATACATATACGTATATAAGTGTTATTTATAATATATGATAATATGAATAAATTGATGTGAGCGACTGGGCAAGAAGTATATATATATATTTAGTATACGTATATATATATACACATATAGTATATACAAAAGTTGGTGAGAGGGAGAGAGAGAAAGAATACATACTCCTTACATGTAATGTGGCTAAAACAAAATGGATAAATATGTGCGATCATGGAATCCGTCTGAGAACTGGAGAATAAAACCTCAAGGATATTCATATAATAATGATAATAATAATAAGTGGAGATTAATACCACAATGGTACCCTTACTATGGTAAGAATAATACTTTTACTAATAATAATAAAAACAAAGACGATACTGTTGGATATCGACAATATGCTAGTGGGTGGCAGCAATTGATTGATAATCATCGTACTTATAGAAATTTTAGAAAATATTATAATGTGAAATATTGGAAAAATACTTTTGATGAACAAAAAGGTATTGAAAGAATGATTGGTTTTTTAAATTATAAACCATCATTACAACAACAACAAAGAAAAAAATCTTTTTTTGAAGAAAAGACAATTGCCAAGATTAATAAATGTGGTGGTGGTCATCATCGATATACAGAAGCTCTTCCAGAACTGACGCCATTGTCATTGTTATTGTTACCGCCACCTTTATCGTCTTCTATTTTACCTATACCCGATGAGGGTAGTGTTAAAGTGTTCTCTCTATCATCCTATGACAACGATTTATTTGCTACAGTTAAGGAATATAAGAACATTTTCAAGTCAACGTAACCATTTTATATCTGGCTGTACTCATGCTCATATTTCTTCGGGAGTCGTCCCTGCAACTGACGACCGATATATGCTCCATGTTCACTTCACCCGCCATAGAATCTCTTAAATAGACTAGTTATAATTTTAAGGTATAAAAAAAAAGATGGTAGATAGTTGTATTATAGTATATAATGTGGAACGCATAGCATACAATATGATCTGTAACTATTATTATACTTGATTACTCTTATGAATTGTAATAAGAGTATCATATTAACCTTCATGTTCAATAAAACAAAATTAAAAGTAATAAAAAATTTATTATTATTATTATCCTGTATGGTCGGCATTTAGTTTATTGATGGAATTTTTTCTCCTCCTTTTTTACTATTGATGAAATTTTTTCTCCTCCTTTTTACAACAATATTTTTGCTGTATGGTTGACATCTAGTTTGCCTCTTTAGTTTATTGGTGGTAAACTTACATTCACAACATTTGCTTTCACCTTTTTTATTAAAAGAATAATTCTCTGTCAACATTTCATGTTCTAATGATGAAAATGAAGATTGATTTTGTCGCTTTAAATTTTCTAAAATTAGTCGTGTTTGTAAGCTCTGGTGGTGTTGAGTTCTATAGTTTGAAAGAGGGGCGAATATGATTCCGTGTTGTCCTTGGTCTTCGAGAAATTTTTCAATAGCTTGTATATCGAGATAAGTTTTTGTACTATTGTTATTTTCGTTGTCGTCATCATTATTGTCATCGATAGTAACAGCAGTAGCAATACTACTATTACCTCTAACCAAATTTTCACTATTGATCATGTTCTACGTCTTCTTCTTCTTCTCCGATTATAAAGTCTAGTATACCCCGTCGATTCTCGTTGAGTATCTCACTAGTTTTATTCCCGTATTTTTTATTGTTATTATATAAATGCTTATTAAAAAAAATTTGTGCGGGTGTCATATGTGTGTAATCTTTGCTAAAAACACTTGATCTTTTTATTGGTATCGGTGAATCTTTATTGAGCAACCCTGATATGATGTACGAATCTATCCCAAGAAAATCTGCAATTTCATCACTTCTCCCTTCGCTTGTCGTTCTGTTGACCAGGTCGTATATCTCTTCGAGCTGGTTTAGTTGACGAATCTTCATCTTATGATTCGATCGAAGCTTTCTTATTTTATTGAATGCATCATTCGTTAGATGCGACCGCGACGATGGCATCGGCGTCGTCAGTAGCAATGACGAAGATGGCGGCGGCGGCGGCATTGGCGACGGCGGAATATATTCTTCGAAACCTTCAAAAAGACACCTGGTCCAATACGATGTCGCGAGTGTATTGTTTCTTTTTGCCAGCCTCTCTTCGAGTTTACATAAGACTCGTGTGAGATTTTGTAATCGCTTAAGCTTTCCATAGGATTGCTGCATAGTCAACGACAAATTTTTATATCCTATTCTTTCTCTTCTTTCTTCTTCCTCCTCTTCTTCTTCTTCTCGACAAAGTTTATCGAGGTCCTTTTCAAATACACTTTGATGGTGCTTTCTTAGAAATATTTTAGTTGATAGTGGTGGTGATGGTTGTTGTTTTAGTAATAGTAGTGGTGGTGGTGGTAGTAGTGGTGATGATGATCGCCGTGGTACCACCAGGAGTTTTAGAAACCACTCTCTATAATCTTCTCTCCAAGTTTGTCTTAACATACGTTGCCTGATCACTGTGAGGAAATCAGTGGCCACGTCTAGTGAAGAAGGAGAAGAATAAAGACTTGTACATTTATCTACTAATGTTTTTTTAGAAGCTAGAGAGCAAAAAAAAATTGATTTAAGTTGGTAATCGGGTACCGTTCTTAAAAAGAAATCTGTCATTAAATACCACGACAGAGGTGGTATATGGTATTTTTTTTTCCCATTTTCAAATTCCTCATCAGACAAATGTACCAGATTGTCTATAAAGTACCAAAAAAACCCAAAGAGCATCTTGAATATGACATGAATATCGTCTCCACCACACGCGCCGAGAATGGTACACTTTCCCACTTGAAATACCAAAACAGTTTTACCCCTAAAATTTTTTTTCATCGCTTCCGTGTCTCCAGATTCTCTTTCCCTGGCGGCTCTCGTATAATACCCTCCGATGGTTTCGCCTCTCTTTAAATGACGTATCGGTACTAGGACTTTAAAAAAAAGTCCAGGAAAGGAATCAGGTACATGTGTGAAGGCAATCTTGTGTTCTCTAAAAAATTCCTTTAGACTTGGAAAATTAAGCTTAAATAGATTAAACGTAGATACTACATTGACAATCTCTACATTAGATATGGTGATTGGGTGCTCTTGCGTATCTGCAATAGCAGACACCGCCTGGAGAACACTTAGAGGAGTTAATCCCAATTTCCTCAGTCCAACGATAATTACCGATCCCATAGAAAAGATGAGTATGCTGCAAGGAGGATACTCTTCTCGCAAACGAAGAGCTGTAAATTGTTTCTGTGAAGTTTCGTTTAACGATTTTACCATGATGTCTTTATCAATTAGAAAAGGTTTTTGCTTCTTCTTTTTCTTTTTCTGTTCAAAATAAACATTCTGCTGATTTTGACCAAAATCTAAACTAACACCAATGCATAGATTATCTCTTGTATAACGATTATGCGCTATTTTTTATTCTCCTATTCATCACTGTCGATCGATATTAACGAGGTTATAAGTCGAGGACGATAACTGAAATATCTATCAATTAGGTGATTGATTATTAACCCTCATTTAAAAGATTAATTTATTTAGTTCTTAGATATAGATAGTAGCTTTGGTTCGATGCGAGATAATATTTCACTTTCTCTCCCGAATAAAGATGAGTTTATATCATCGTTAGATTTTTCAGAGGAAATCTTTTTAAGCTGTGATGCAATTTTACAAAACGCATTATATTTTTGGATGCGTTCTCGATCTTTTTGAGATTTTGCAAGTTTGAGTTTGTCGAATTTATATATATTCTTACTCGTTGTAATAACGGCAGAGGAAGATAATTTATCACGAAAATTTTCGATCGGTATATCGGTCTTTGAATTACAGGTACCAATTTTGCCCAGCGAATCTTCTTGATGGAATTTCTTCCTTTCGTCATCTTTGTTGTCGGTGATCTTAAACATTAAGTGAAAGCTTGATGTCGGGTCGTTGTAGTTGTATGACACTAAAGAATCCGACAAGCAATAATTTAAGAATTGAGTCTGTTTACACACGAGCGATACCCTCTTTCCCGCTAGACATTTTTGGAGCGTATGAGGCCAACGCCAAAGTGCTTCTATAGAGTGTGACTGAAATGAAGATGAATGGTAGTGATCGAAATCGTCATCGTTGTTATTACGGTGATCTTTAATAGTCACCCAATGTTTGATAGCCATTTTAATCATAGCGGTATTAATTTTTTCTTTTGTTTTTTTAATATTTTGATTATTGGTCGAACGAAAGGCGGTCCTCGCTAATTCTTTCTTGGCCCCATCGTGGAGAACGAGTTGTTGTTGACCGTCGGTATTTTTCATTCTATTCGTATACCCATCTAAGCCCATCTGATCTTCATTGGATAGGCAGTTATTACTAAAATAAGCATATGTGTTGGAGGGGTTAATATGAGACAAATGATAAATACCTACATTCTCTAATAGCTTTAGAAATATATTCGGATCACCTCCCGATATTTTTTTGAGTGCGCACACTACCCACGATGTAGCCGTAACTCTTCCAAGATGAGTTTTAGTCTTGATGTTTTTTTTGCAGTGGAGTTCTGCTAGATCTTTTCTCTGGTTCAGAGTCGCTTGTGTGTATCTCAACTTGTCTCGTTCCTTGGGTAAGGACATGTTATTTTTATGTAGCGAATTGTCTCG